GAAAGTCTAATACGGAAAATCAATGTTATTATTTATCAATTCAATTATATCACTATTTGTGATGATTCTATTTGAATTGAGGTATTGTTTGTGGTGATGTAAAAGTTAATAAGCCTCGAAACTACATTACGAAACACATAGGCCCGCAATCGAGTGCCGCGAGCTGCTTATTGTTACTTCATAATCTTGACATTCAACCACGAAGCCACGCCTAATAACTATATCAATGAACAGACTCACCTACTTGAAGCTGTCACTATTGTGTTACTTTTATTGCAGACAAAAGCTTTGTATCTATAATACTCCTACTTATCTAACTACTCACTGTTACGTGTTCTTTTGAATGCAGATAGTAAATATAAATTGTATTGAACTTGAATGAAATTGGCTGTGTCATTCTCATTACATCAATGTTGGTTCATTTGTTTGATACAAATTGTAATGTTGGAATCATTATAATTTTTTCATTATAAGACTGCATCGTTGACCGAGTGCCGGGCAAGGGGTTTCGGATTCGATTCCCGGGTCGGGCAAAGTATTACTGGGTTTTAAAAAAATTCTCAGTAGTAGCACGGTGTCTGGAATTGTGCACGGTATATGGCAATAGGCTCACCCCCTATTACATGGGACTCATAACATAAATAGTGAAAAGTGGGTGTTACATTGTACAGTGGTATAATGTGCACCTTTGTCTACCCCTTCGGGGATAAAAGGCGTGATGTTATGTATGTTGTTATAAGATTTTTATGTTGTTTTGAAATATTGTAGTATTCTCGTTCAAATCAACAAATGGACTATTGACTCTTGGATTATTAGTCTCAAAGTGAAAATAATATTTTAAGCTGCAATAGAGGACTATAGTTTATCTAGTTTTATTTTTACTTTACCTATTATATACCCATATTTTATACGTATGTGTACATAATAATAGATGGCATGTTGTAGTTAATATCACTCTTATTATCCGTTGTCCGTACAATTCTGACCTGCTGTACTTTTTCTACACGATATTATAAATAATTGGCTTATTTAAGTCTATTATGTTGTTTGGCAAACAAAGGAAAGTTAACAAGTACTAATGATCTAAAGCTGAAGGTTTCTTTTCCCATAGTTAAAGGGGAAACACTCTTGCACATTTAACGGTAGCTAATATCCTTAGAAAATATTTGATATGGTTCATTTGCATGTCTATCACTGTTTTAAACGATAAAATCCTTTCGCATCTTCGATGATACCTAAATGTCCATAAATCGTTATCATCATTATCATAATCAGCCGGTAGACGTCTACTGCCTGACTGACTTCTCGTCTCTTAACCGTGCACAAAGTCAGCCACGCAGTGGACGTCTTTTATAGGAAAACAGACTAGAGTCACTCAGCGGGTGATGGACAGAGCTATTCTCAGGGTTTCATAATGAACTACACTTTGTGAACCTCTTTTGTGAGACGAACGTCCTCCAATATCAGCCCAGCGTGACAACTGCTGCAGACAGAATATTCATCAATTTCTTGTGGTCAGACTTCATTAACAACTGGTAAGAGTCCACTGTTGGACGGAGTGCAACCTTCATAAAAGAGGGATTACCATAATATCCTTGATTGGTAGGTTGGCGACCATGGTTTAAAAGGACCTGGCTTATCAGAGAGAGCATCAATCAGGTCTTTGAGAAGAGGAGGGTGATGACAAATGAATTCTTCCTTTTCATCAGCAAATAGCTTAGACTTAGATAAAAAAAAACCGAGTGGAGCGCCCATAAAAAGATTTTTCAAAAAGAAAAAGTTACCAAGCACGATTGCCTTGAGATGCCTCGCCTCGCGAAGATCATGCATATGTTCGAGACCAGCTGCGAGTGTGATTGACAAGCCCGTAGTTACGATGGCAGCTTAATTTCATATATTAAATCTGTCTGTAATCAATTTCCTTCTTTAAAAGTTAAAATTACAAAATACGTTATTAGATATGAACCATCTTCGCTTTGTTCTTGTAAGTGCTTAGTCATACACGTGAAATGTTTGACTGAATAATTACCTACTTAGGTAGGTATTTTTAATACTTTGAAAGCAATAAATATCCACATCTAAGTATTATAGCTCATTTTTATTGACGACAACAAATTAGTAATCCTTTGATTAATATTTTATTGAGTAAAAAACCAATGAACACATGAAAAAACAATCTGTTGTTATTGTAATAGATACATGTGGAACCTACCTATACTATTTGTACTCATTGTTCAAAGTTAAATGAGTTATGAATATCTTGACGTGTCGGCGGACTTTACAAAGCGGTAGGTAATAAAAGAAAGAACATTAATTTTGTAGTTGTAGGCACGATGAACACGAAATATGTTCCATGAACACAGTTCTAAGACAGTTTTTGTCCGTTTCTTCGCAATGAAGCGTTCTATTGCTGAATATAACTTTAAGACAATTTCTGACAGTTTTTACGCAATGAAGAAGTGTTTCCGGATTTATTAATAAAACTTCCTTTAACATTTAGGACTTACTTAATAGGGTCTAAAATAAATTAAATTGTCACATAGGTACTGTAGTGTACGCTTGTTTGTTATTACCTACGATAAAGCTAAGAGATCTGTCCATGCCTTCGTTACAATGATATAAAACTCATCATTAGTAAATAAATCAACTAATTTAATTGGCCATAGGTGTGCATATAAAATCAATAGATATTTATGATCGTAATATAAAAACTATAGGTCATCTAGGTACAGCTTGAAGAACGTCATTGAGTAGATTTTCAACAAAACATTCTTAGAAAATTGGTATCTATTTAGTAGATATGACTTTGAAAACCCCGAATTCAGGATTGACTAGTTTATCAAAGTTAAACCATTCTTCCTGGAAGAAAAAAATAACCTTTATATAATAGAGTAGCATGAGCTCCCTACACACAGTGCCACCAGGGACTGGACCATAAAAACTGTCATGGTTAAAATAGCAGATTTCTACGAGAACATTTTTTAATAATTATTGAAGAAAACTCGAAAATTAATTTAATCTATATAAAAATAAGTCGGGTTTTCCTTCCTGACGAAAAACGAAGCCATCTGGTGGCGAAACGGAGTTCGCCGGGTTTGCTAGTCACTAATAATTATAACGACACAGGAATTATAAATTTTCGCATTTTATAATATTTCACTATTATGTATAGGTATTTTTTTCTACAAAAACTGTTGTCGTTTAATAAAAATAAAAACGATCTTGTAATGGTACATAAACGCCGCAAAAAATATTCCTGTACGATAACAAAGTTTACATAATAAGGGTAGAAATGTAGAATTATAACATATAATTCTACATAGACTGAATTTTAAAGCTTTCTTCGGACAGCCACACGGGTAGTGCAAGCTGTCCTGTTTCAAAAATTGCTTAATTTACATTTGATTTCTAGGTACCCGAGAGTGGTACAACGCCGACCCTAGTCTCGTCGCTGTAACGAAACCATAGCGCGATTCAGGATTTAGGGGGGGTTGGTCAACGCCATCTATCGAGACGACAAGAACTACAATTATTGTGAATAGGGTAGATGACTAATTTTTATTTTAATGTCCGTCTGGTAGATTATTTTAAATCATTAGACACGTATTTTTATATTCTTACAGAAACGAATAGTTTGGACGATATAATGATTTGAAATGTCGCGTGACGTCACTTCTATGTACATTTTATACGTAGAAATGACGTTTTAGCCCAAACTCCTAAACTTTGATTCGTTTTATCTAAGTATTCTTTTATTATACGACAAAATAAAAAAATATGTGTCAAGATTTTTAATTTTCATACCCTGTCATCGTCCCAATAGCGTATAGTTGAAACAAGTAAAATACATAGTACAAAATACCTAATAGTTTTTGTCTTCTATAGTCGTAAGCTTTAGGTATTTTCACAGATCATTTTATAGTTAATGACTTGTATGTATGTAATGCTGTATAATAAATATATGAATGTAATGTATTAAGATCGATTAAAGCTTATAATTATTTTATTACGGCACGGTACTCCACCCGACCTTTAGGTAAAAATAGAAGGTACTTAATTTTGAAAAATTGCTGACTGATGGTAGAATTTAATATTATACTAGCTTCTGCCCGCAGCATCGTTCGCACTCTTTTATGATATGAGAGGCATCTTTACAAAACCTGAAAAAACATATACGATTTTTGTTAGGGTTACGGGCTAACTGTCCACGTTACGTCATTTCAAGAATAGGTACATGCATTCAAAAATAGGTGAATTTTAACATTGCCGCTTCCTAGACCATTTTTATTATGGTGTCTAAGCAAAATGCAAGCATATGTCATTTGTAGGACACCTTTATCTTTGACGAATGCATGCATTCGTGATTGACGCAACGTGCTCAATAGAGTCCACGACGCGTATTTGACGAATTAATTCAACCAGCAAAATAATTAAAAATGACCTGCATTTTTCATCAGCTGCCTATAATATGTCCACTGCTGAACAAAGCCTCTTCTCACATGGAGAAGGCTTGAGCATTGATCACCACGACACCACGCTTGCGCAATGCGGGTTGGCGATTACAAACTTATAATAAGAAATTATAAGCCCAGGTTATCCTTACGATGTTTTTCTTCACCGTTTGTCAGTGGTGTCAAGATAATCTTAGAAAGTACATATAACTCGGAAATAGTCACTTTGGTACTTGCTTGGTAGGTTTCGAACCCGCACCCTCATGCATGAGAGGTGGGCGTCTTAAACCTCGGAGCCACTGCGACTATGCATACAACATGCATCTTTGCTTAGAAACAATGAAAACTGTCTACGAAGCGGCAACGTTGCGTCATTTAATCCACATACAAATTCGCATAAAACCAATCGCAAACCACTACAACCCGAATGCTGGAAGCGAACTAACGACAGAAAATCGCTGACATCCGCCAACTCTCCCGTGGCGCGTGAGCATTCTACTAGCCAATTTCAACTTGTATTTTTATTGTCTCGCAGAATAATCCTAAAAGATGACGACCGCAAGTATGCTCCTGACGGTGGCGACTACATGGAACGTCTCTACCGACAAGATTGACAAAGAGGGGTGTCTGAGCATGGCCACAAAGCATGTCACCGCTGAAGCTGCCAAAGAAGTCCGCGAGAGTCAGTCTACGAAGGAACAGGCGCTGGCCATCATGAGGGAGTGGATACAACAGAACATTGACATCAAAAATGTCCGACAAGGTACATACTGAATATAATTCTCCAGCAAATCGTCTTTTCTATCTACTGCTATTTTGTTCTTCGTCCTCTCGGGGAAATTATGCCATTCTGTGAGAAATAATTTTCGATTCAGAAAGAACTAAATTCCTTTGTTTACAACATTAGATACATTCCAAACTTTGTTTACAAATATTTTTCTGAATTGTTTTATATTTGCCGAAACACCTTCGTGTTTAGACGCAATATAAGAATATTGCGCCTATAAAATTATCACGCTATATAAAAATACAATAATTGCAAATAAAATTTCAATGGTTGATTACCACCTTTACCTCGTAAAAATTTAGCGCCTGTTAAAAACCCTGAACATCCGAAGAGAAAGGATAGACAGATAGATATTAATATGTTGCTTATAAATTACAAATCTTAGGTGATTCATTGCTAAATGTAAAAATAAGTTTGCATTTTTGCAATAAGGAGAACGTTCAAATTTGATCTAAAGGACGTCGGGAGATGAAACCTAGTGTAGGTACCTAACTCCTATGTATATGAACGTAGATTATCCAATTACCAATGGTTAAACATGTTATAAAGTAGAGTAAGTAGGTAACTTAGAAATAATTGTGGTAGACATTGCTACTCAACTCTTAAAAAATACAATTGGAAAAAACAAGCCCAACTGATCAGGCAAAACGTATTTTGCGAGTACTGAAATAACCTAAGTACTGACATGCCTGATGATGTCTTCGCGGCTGTGCTCTTGGATAAATATTATTAAAGTATTATTAATGTACCAGTTACAAGGTCAATTAAAGTGTCAATCACTTTATTCTCCATCTGTGGCGATTTATTTATGGTTTAATATATGCTATAAAACTGGTTTATTTAATAAATAAAGTAGAAAAAACGTTTGTTCCAACACCCAATGTTTATTATTTTGTGGTAGGTTTATTCTGTGGACCAAAGTCCATATCAAAAAGTGCCCGCTGTCTCTTGTCCAATCAATATTGTTCCGGTTTATCAGAAATAAAATATTTATGTTCGATTACTGTAGAAGTGATGTAATTTTATTTTAAAAATTAAACATTTTATTAGATAGGTGTTTTCGTTGTAACCAAGTAGGCCTACCTACGTAGGAGATACGTCGTAATAATCTCGTCTCATTTTTATTTTGGAAAATCTCATTTTTTGTTAAAAATAAGTAAAGGTTTATCCGTCTTTAAAATCTTTATAATAGGTACTTAATCCAACTAATTAAATTATTTAAACATAATACAGCCAAAATATATTTTTTTTTTTGGCTGGCTTGCTTGGCTGTATTTCAGACGAGTAGGTATAGAAAAAATCTTCTACCTATATAATATAATTACATTGTTTTGATCAACTACTTCTTTATATCTTTCTTCTGGTGTTCTCAACTTAATATTTCTCATTCCTTTCCATTAGCCAGTTCTATTGGTGGAACTGGTGGCAAGTCAAAATGCCACATGCCCCCAGCTGGAAGGGGCCTCCGTTCAGAGATTTACATCTGAACATCTCTGTCTTTTATTGAGAAAGAGGATACATTCGATTAAAGTGCCACAAGTGGTATAGTTACGCCACTGCCATTAGCCATGCATTTGTCTGTGTTCCATTCAATTTCCATTCGCTAATATGTTTTCCTTATTATTTTGTAAGTGTCTTCGTGGTTATAATTTTAGATTCGAAAACAATGGGCCTTAAGCTTTGACTTAGCGATAATCACATCGTATCACCAGATCAGAACAATCGGCCATTAAATTTACTCTTTCGACATTTTTGAGATGTAAATCAACATGGTCAATTGTTGTAGTTTAATTATCGTGAACGTGTTTAAATGTCACTCAGTCATGAAATATCTAAACTGGTTCATTTATTTATATTCCATTCGCTTATTACAAAATATATTGTGGTTATTAGGCCAATAGGTATTGTGGTATATATAGTACAGCTCTAAAAGGACCAGAGAACTGTAAATTTGCCTATCTACAATCTACGAAGACGAGATTCCAGTTTGTCAGTTCTAAATTCATTACTTCATCTGTTACAGATGAATCATTTCTACTTCGGTTTTTACGCCACAAGAAGTACAGTATCCCGATGGCCCAACAAACCCTGCTGAAGTACTTGAGCTTGAGAAGATACTATCCCGAAATATTCAAGAACATCGACTGCGATGACCCAAAACTGAAGGATATTCTCAGCAACGGGTAAATATCTAAATGTTTGTCAACACTGCTAAATAGGTATGACAAAACCGCCATTATTTATTTATTAATGTTTATGTACATATTGTTGCACACATGTGAAACTCACTTAAACCTATAACAGACCAGTATGTCAGCGTGAATGAATGAATCCACGACAATTGTATTACACAAATAAGAGCTAATAAACAAAGTGAAATTAATGGTTCCAAATAATAACAAAGCTAACCCACTAACATGGTTTCATAAGATAGTGCCTGACTTACGTAACACAGCTTTATTTTAGTTATGTGGCCATTTATCTGGCTCCATAGATGTGCCAGTAGAAAGTTCCCACGTATATGTACTAAGAGCCTTGAACTCAACGGACTGTCTCGGGTTCCCCGCATTGCGAATACGCTTCTTATGTAATTTTCACTGTGATATAATTCCATCTTGGAATTTCATAACCATTTCCTAATTTCAAGGTACATAGTGGTTTCACCGGTTCGAGACAGCAAGGGTCGTCGGGTCATCGTTTACAATATGAGTAAGGAGATTTTTGTTAAGTATGGCGTAATATTAAAATGCGTGCGATGCAACTGCGACTATCATGTATACAAGTGAAACCTTACGCGAATTAACTGGACTGCGAAATTTACAATACTTGATCTACATACATAAGTTAGATTAAATTAAAATGTATAGAGTCTCAATTACTGCTTAATTTATTGATTTTTGTAACGCTTTGCGTTGGTATATGGAGAGCTGCAGTGGTGTTCAATTTAAAATTACTTTGTTAGGTAAATTCAACGCTCATAAATACAACTGCTGGGACATGTGCCGGGCTCACTTGCTGGTGTACGAGAGCTTGCTGGAGGACTCCATGGACCAGATGTGCGGTTACGTGCACGTGGGGGACGGCAGCGGGGTGACCGGAGCACACATCACCACATGGAACCCTACAGACTTCGCTCGTCTTATGAAATGGGGAGAGGTAATGCTATCCATGTAATTATTTATAGGATCCCTTCACAATAACGTCTTTCTTTTTCTCTTTACTCTAGTGTTTCCTAAATTTTAGATTCAGTATAAATTTTAGATTTGGAAGTTGGAACAACCGTCGGTTGTTGGTTTTGTTTGTCTGATTACAATAGGTACCGCAAAACCTGATTGCCACACTGCCCTTATTAGGGGAATGATACGTATGTAGATAAAACACCCCTTTCCGAGAAATCTCATATTTGAAATCGTTCTGCAAAGTACCCGTCCTTGTATTCTTATATAACCAATATGAAGTAATAGGTACCTTACGTTGATCGTGTCGTGCACATAGGGAGCAAGGTTATTTTCTCGGATGACGCAAAGTCCGCGGGAACTTTCGTAAAAATTGAGCTTGAGTAAACATTAGGAGTGCCGTCGGATATGGGTGTGTGTGTACCAAGCATGTACAATTGTAGAGAGCAGTAGGTTTGCTTGAACTTTGCTCAAATTAGCACCAGGTCATAATAATTTAACAAGGGAATTATATGATTAAAAGTCCTAAAATAAACCTAGGCAATTATGACAGTAGACAGACCGTGCAGAACAACCTGTCACGCACTGAGGGCAAACAAACATGACCTCGCTCTCGTGATATACAATTAACTTAATGATGGTATATTATGTGTTGCAGCAATCGATGCCCATGCGTCACAAAGAGTTTCACTGTGTAAACGTACCGACTGCCCTCAAATATGTCGTCGACTTCGCAGTTAGTAAAGTTACCCCCAAAATGGCGGAAAGACTTAACGTGAGTGTTTTGAACAAATTTTACATTTTAGATGATATAAAAGAAACAATAGAATATTCAAATCTCAAACCACCATTATTTTTTCAGATCCATACAAACCTAAAACAACTGCACCAGCACATAAATGTCGAGTGCCTACCAACGGGATATGGAGGCCCATTGAAAATCGAAGATATGGTCAAATTCACATCGCAGATAGTAAACGACCAGAAAAAGAAAGTTCTTGGTCTGGACACAATGGAAATCCTCAGCACTAGAGGTATCATCTCTTCGAGGAGACCTAACACCATCGTAGTGAACGGAGACGTTGCGGTACAAGGGAGCTTCAGAAAACTAGAGATAGATTAGGCTACTGTATTGTTAGTAATATTAAACTTTTACTTGTTAGTTAATCTGTCTGTCGTACTCGTACACCCTCGAGCACCACTGACTTTAAATATATTTTAGCACTGAAAATTAAATGCTCTGATTAAATATTATTCGTTTAGGGACTTACATATTAAGATAGAATAATTGTATTTTAGTGACTCTTGTTTGTGTAAAAAGACTTTACAAGGTGGATGGCAAATAGATAAATAGACATTTACCATTATTGAGTACCGTTGCAAAGTTACAAATATCTGATGGGAATACAAAACACCTTTTGGACCATTCTTCGGCTTGAATGACTAAAACATAACATCTTGTACGAGACTACCTAACACATAATTATGTGACGAATAATATTATAATTAATTTTTTAATTGTTCTTGTCTGATTGCTTTTTAACAATGCCATATTTTTACAGTCGAATTTTGCAATAACTACGGTTTTCATATATTTTAATTTGAAACGTCAGTCTTATGATTACGAAGAATGGCCAAAAAGTTTTAAAAACGCAAATTAAGTCTAACAAAATAAGTTTATTTCATGTAGAAATCTCGATTCGCCAACTTTGTTAATTAGGTATTTTAATTATTCATAGGAAAATCTATCCATCATTTCATTGATTTAGAGTTAGGTATTGTATGTATATATTCTGTCATTTCCTTTCCATTAGCTTTATATCAACAAGGATGATAAGATCCATGACAAACTAAATAATGTATGAATTGTACTAAGTTTAGTAAAAGAACATTAAAGGTTTTGTATATTATATAAACTTATGTGCGTTGTTTTTTTTACCTTGGTGATTTATGAATATTGTCGCTATAATTCTATATATTTGGTAAGAGTACTCTACACTATTTAGTTCCGAATAAAGAAAGAGAGCAAATCCATTTATTATCCCATGATACAGACATAACAGTAATACAAAAAAAAATATAAAAATAACCCACTATAGCGCAAAAGGCCAGAGCTTAGCTTAATGCAGTGACCCCGGCACAAAGGCTCAGGACCACGGCGCTGATTTTTAGCATTATCCGGTATATACTGAACTCCTGCGCAATAAACCACGCAAATAACTTGACGTAGGTTCACGTCCTGTACGTAAAGTAGAACACTAGGTAAGCTTGAATCAGAATTTAATAAAAACAACCAATGGATTTCGTGGTCCCAAAATTGAACCCTGGGGTACTCCAAAAGCAATATTTGGATGCTCGATCTGTACAGTAACCCCTTATTTTTAACGCTTATTTTAGCTGCCATTAGCTTGTTCAAGAGTGACTGTACGATCCAATCACTAATTTAATGTATCTTAGACACACACGATAGAAATAAAACACAGAAGTAATATATTTTATAAAATGTATTATTACTTAAACATCATGTGGACACTAATCTAACGATATCACATCAATTATTATGGTAGGTATTTTACTTCATTACAATAACATTTTCCTTGAATACAAATACAATAGTATTTTGACATAATTTACTCACTAATTCACTTCCAATATTTCCTCTTGGAAAAATGGCCTTGTGCGCATTTGGAGACGAAATGTGACCACTAGGACGAATGAACCTTGATTTTCTTATTACACTGCAGATTACGTGTGTGCTAGAAGCCACTCTATCGTGCCATAACACTGACAAAACATTAGCATAATGTAATTGGCAATTAAATATTTTTATAATTGTCTAAAAAAATAAATAGATTATATTTAACAACGCTGACTTGAATATTGGGTTGTTTGAGTATTTATTTTAATGAATTCGGTAGGGGACAGTTACGACATGATAATTATAAGAATATTGGTAGCAAAGACAATGGACCGAGGTTGGATACAAAGAGCTGAAGTTCGAGTTCATTGACGTTCACATCATTGGTACTATTGGAGAGATCTGCCACTAGAAGTGGATGTAATATTACAGAAACGGATCCAAAGATAAAAATTACTTATGTGTGCTTTTTATTATTTTAACACTTATGTTGATTTCTACCGCTATTTAACGTTATTTTATTCAGCTTTACATTCGTTGCTAACCTCCACAAAAAGCTAAATACTTTCAATATCTCGTAAATGTCCCCTAGCGAAAAATTACAATACATTCATTATATTCTATTGTGTCTATTCTATTGAACATTATTATTGAATAATAGATAATATACATGTATAATAATCATAATAATAACTAGTACAATTCGCTATTACATTGAATATGATTTAATTTTTTTAACTAAAATAACGAAATACCTACTTTAAATAATAAATACAAGCTTATATATAAACTGTGTGGAATTTTACATGACCGTTCTAACGCTCGAATACTGTAAAGCTACTCAAATTTAAGTCGTACTTAAATAAATTATTATGTTCTCAGTTTACTTACGTAATTATCTGACGAGGAACTCGACTAGTTTCAAGCCATGCTAGAGGCTCATATTCATGAGCAGCATTTCGCAACCTGCGACGCGGTAACTGTCACGCTGCTACTAGCATGCATTGCTTGAAACTAGTAGAGTTCCACGTTAAATAATTACGTGAGTAAGCCGAAAACATAATAATTTATTTAATATGTCTCACGAAAGTTATAATACGTACTTAAATATCGTGCCATCTCTGTCATTATATAAAAAAAATGTAGTGACAACTGCATTGAAGCGCGGCTTAAATTACCTTAAGTAACCTTTCAGTATTCGGGCGTTAGTATAGATAAGTATATCTAATACTTGAATGTTTTATATCAACTGCTGAACGTATAAATGTATAACTGTAATGCAACGTCAACCTTAATAAAAAATAGTTGCAAATAAATAATTGAAAAACACGGTCAAAGCAGTAACAAGAATAGGCTGATCATGACATTTAGAGCACTGACCTGCGTTTAGCAATTAGCTGGCTTTATTTGCTGGCGGGTAAATCCCGACTTAAAAAAAAACAATATAAAAAAACATTTTCCCTTATAGTCCGGTCAGGTAATACATTCGAAGTTCAAAGTCACAATAATTCTGAACCAGATGAATATTGAAGAAGGCCAGGTGGTTTAAAGAACGCGGTTATTTAAAATTCACACTCTATTTACAAAACATAACTTACAACAAAATATTAAACTAAAATAAAATTACTGTGATCTAATGTCGATTCTATAAAAAATATTAAATTCTGAACAACTTCAATTCATTTAAATAACTCATATATACAAACAATATATAACAAAGGAATGGTATAAGGAAAATGAAAACTGGTAAGTTGATGACAGCAACTTTACGCTGCAATAAAAAAATCCACTCATAGGTACTTAATCAACCACCACAAAATGAAATAAATATATTAAATAAATTCGTAACAATATTTTCAAATGCCACAGGCATTAAATAATTTGAATACTTATACCGCATCCCCGCAAGCGAACTTGAGGTCCGTGTACGAGTTTGTTGTTTAAAGTAATCGAACGTGTTCGACACTCTGATTGGCTGGCTCCAATGAGCTAACCAATCAGAGGGCCGAACGCGGTCTCATTTCGATTACTTTAACGTTAAAAATGTCGTAAATACCTCCGTACCTTTTTAACGAAATATTTTCCAAATATCTGAGTCATATAAACAATAATAAATGTTAACGGATTTCCCGTTCTATTTCGAAGAATATAAACACATTTAGAAAAAAATAATGCCATTCTAATACTTCATAAACATAAAATTACAATAACCTTATTAAAAGATAATTTTTGGTATACGAATCGAGCCCTTCGGTAACAGGTATAGCTATTCTGTAACTGTCAATTTGAATTTTCGAAGTGAGCTGGATCGATTGTCGCCTGTCATTGGTCGAGATTATTCTTACAACCAATGACATGGCGGATAAAGTTCACTTCGCTCTTTCAAATTGAAAGTGATAGTCTAGCAGGTATGGCAACGAATTAGTAACAGTAATTAAAAAATCTACTTAAACAAAAGGATAACCATTAATAATGTAAAATGTGTTTATGTAGGTAATTTTGTATCGTCTAAGAATAATAACCGCATTGGCAAAACCAGTAATGATAGATGGTTGATTTGGTATGTTCAAAATAAATGAATCATCACGAAACATACATTTGGATTTTTTTATGAAATTTTCTTCTACTTCTAATACTAGTGGTAGAAGATTTTACAGTATTCTTGGTAGTCAGTGAACCACAAAAGACATTAATTATTATATCTCAATGAATAGTTTCATACTCTCAACAGATTTTCAAACGATAAAATAAATATAAGTAAGGGCCTTTTATCCACCATATACAAAACATTACCAACAAATTCATGACTACCTTTAAAAACAATTAAATTAAAAAAATCAAGCCCTCACATTACCATAGACGAAAAATAATACGAGATTACAACTAGGTATATAAGTAATATTAGAACACCACTATTGCACATGTATATTATTTTCATATTATTATAGAGATTCTCAATGTAAATAACGTATTGCGCAGGCACCAGCATAACAACTGTCAATTTAAATCAATAGATTAACGACTTTAACACATAAATCGTAAGTTGAAATTTAAATAAAAAAAATATCACATTAGTGTACTTTGATTGGGCCTGTGCTATAGAAAAAAAACAATGTTTTCTTACGATAAAAATACACAAAAAGAGTTATAATTATGTGATGTTAAGGAATAATTTCGTTGTAAATTAAACTCGTTGGATCTATATTTAACTACTACAAGGTCAATAAACCCTGTGACGTAGTATATGTTGAGGTTGTTTCCTTTTCTAGAACCATCGAGTAATATGGCTTTGGTTTTACCCAGCAAGACATATTTTTGCCGCTTTTTGTAATAAGTTTTCGTAGAAGATGATAGAAGTGCTCTAGCGTATTAAAATTAAAAAATGGTGTGCATTAATAAATAAAATTAAATAAATGTAATAATTATACAATTAACGAATGTGATGTGAACGCTTCGTTGGGATTGCAACTGTTCATACTAAAACATATTACTATAATTATTTACCTAATAAATAATCTATTTTCAAATATTATTGCACTAAAACTGATTGGTATATAATAATAATAATAGTAGGTATTGTTTTCCTTTTCCTTTAACACATTTGTTATCATCGACGCAATGCGTATAATCGAGTGACGTAAAAACTAATTCGAATAATATAATCGAATGGATAATACCAAGATAGAGCAAAATTAAATAAATAATTTGATGAATATCATTGCAAAACAGTTAAAAAGTACCTAATATAAAAGTGTCAGGAGCATTGCTATCGATTAAAATCTTGTAATTCTTAGATCTACTCTCACTAGTAAAGTCCATAAATTTCCTTTTATGAATTACTACTATTATTTACATCTATCGGTATATTTTTATTCAATTCTACTGAACACTACAAGAAAATGCTACGTTGAGGAAAAAACTTTCAAATGTACTGTTTAATGAATCATCTACTACTGAATCGATATTACTTTCGATTCGAAACATAAAGGTCTGACTACTATACACCTCTAAGGTAAATTGTCAAGCCCAAATAACTGAAGGACAACCTCAAAGTTTTACAAACGAACGCCTATTACAATGGGCGTAAGGTTCAATTTTTATCCGAGAATTCGCTGCTCCACTGCGGAAATGTTTTAAGGCTGTCGATCAAGTGTGTCGGCGTATCGTTTTTGTTTTTACCGAAAATGCGGTAAGATGGATGCAAGTACTGTTGGCTCACCGATGTATCGAAGAAGTTCTTTGCTTCTTGCACCTGTGGCCGCGTCGGTGGAGTTTCGGTGAAATTTCCTGAAATATACCATTAGGAAAGAAATTAATATCAGGTTGGTTTAAGTAGAATAGAAACAGAAGTTTAATAGTAATCATAGAAGAATTTTATTGCTACAACGACGTCATTAGTATGTAGGTAGATATGTAGATTATGTATTTAGGAAAGTGTCTTTCTTAGAAAAGGTTAACCTATGAAGGTCGATCAAAGGTTACACTAACAATAACTTTTATAGATTATCAATTATCTATATACCTACATCTAAAAATAAATGTTTCCATAGGCCATGGCATCACGCATAGTGCAACAGCTAGACCGACATCGCAAAATCTTTCATGGAGTCTGATGAACGATCTCATGAAGGAAAATTTTGGGAAAATGTTAAGTAATATGTATTTATAACCTTACCTATAAAAGCTAAAAGCAGTCCAGTAGGCATCGTGTTCTTCGTAGCCTGAGGAATACACTTGAGCCAGCCGAGAGCCTCATATGTTTGTCCATTGGAAGATATCAAAAAATTATATGGTAGCGTGGCGTTCACTGACGTAACGTTGGCCTGAAACAAGAAGAAAAACGGTAAGTAACATGGTATATGAAACAGATATATCTGTAGAAGATATATTGTTCTGATGATATTGTGTATGGGAGCGTAAATGATACACGGACCATTTGTGGACCACACAGAGTTCTCCGTGCGGGAATTAATCCGTCAAACACCAAGCGGTCACCGGTGACCGCGACCTATTGTTCTTTAATTGTGTCTATAAAACCGGTACTCGACGAGTTAAACCAGCTACACGCTGCGCGGCAGCCGGTTGCCCAGCCACCGCGCTAAGCGTGCAGTGCCACCGCCAAATTGTATTTAAGTCCCTAACGGAGTAGAAATATGTAGAGATTAGTTAGGGAGACTATCGAGTCTAGATTTAGAGGATTCTTCTTCTACCCGCCTTTTAGTAGCTGATTTTTAACTCGTCGAGTACCGGTTTTATAGACACAATTAAAGAACAATAGGTCGCGGTCACCGGTGACCGCTTGGTGTTTGACAGATTAAGTAGGTATCTACACGAATAGAAAAACAAGGATTGTAATTATAGTTTAGCAGTTGATTATAAATAATAATCTTAAAAGTAATAAAATGTCGTTTATAGGTTTTTGAAGGTGAATTGCAGCTCCTGCGCTCAATTCTTTACATTTTTATGATACACCCAATATAATTAAAATATATAGATTTTTTTTATTACTCATTCAGTGCTATTGTATTTATGAGTGAATTAATTATCATCATAATTTCTGGCCTATGTTCTGATGGATTTATCCGATCGTGTTAATAAGGTTGCTATTGTGAATGTGACCTTTAGGTACTCCGGATGCATATACTAAAGTGTATATTTAGGTACGCAAAGGCCTTGTGAGTAAACATTGAGTAGAACCGTGGTATTTCCGTGATTACTTTGTAGAAAGATGTAATTATGGCGTCGATGTATGGAACTAATTGGAAGACTACTGATGACCAGATGAATAAACGTGATGGAAGCTAAATTATTACTATGTATGATGGTACAGTTACGCATAGCTAGTATAAAGTGTGCAGAAAGATCATACAAAGGAGACCATACTGACTAATAACTAACTATAAATATATAACTAAATATAACTGGTTTTGTATAGATTAATGTGTTCATGGTGGTCTGATCTACACCTACTCTACTTGTCCTACCTACTTATCTTATAACATAACATAATATCACGCCTTTTATTCCCGAAGGAGTACGCAGAGGTGCACATTACGGCTACGGCACTTAATACCACTGTACAATGTAACACCCGCTTTTCAGTAGGTATTTATGTTATGAGTCCCATGTAATTGGGGGTGAGGTTATTGGCATATACCGAGCACAATTCCAGACTCCGTGCTACTACTGAGACTTTTTTTTAAATCCAGCAGAACTTTGCCCGGTCCGGGAATCGAACCCGAGAGCCCTTGCTCAGCAGTCGCACTTACGAGGCAGTCAAGGAGGTCTTATATCTTATCTTATACTATTATACATATAAAGCTGAAGAGTTTGTTTGTTTGTTTGAGCGCGCTAATCTCAGAAACTACTGATCCGACATAAAAATTATTTTTGTGCTGGATAGGCCATTTATCAAAGAAAGCTAGGTTATAAGACATCACGCTACGATCAATAGGAACCACGCGCATGTAGTTAGTAATAGATAGATAGAGCTGAAGACTTTGTTATTTTCTTTGAACCCGTCAATCTCCGAAACGGCTGGTTCGAACATAACGGCTATAACACACCACGCTGAGATCAATAGGAATCGAGCAGCAATGGGTGAAAGCGGGAGTAGCTAATCTAGTCTAGTAACACAAAGGGCCATTTTAAGACACAAAGGTGTCTGATGTCATACCTATACCTAGTCAGACATTTACTTCTAATATTTTATGCCAGAGTAATCATTACCTTTGCCCCGTGACACACGTACCTTTAATCAATTCAATACCCTTTGTGTACCTAAGTGCTAGTCATCTGATAGTGTCATGCATGAGTAGATATTAGTTTAAATGCAATTGCGTAATATTTGAATATTCAAATGATTACAACTCTGACGTTAATGTTTACTTTGGCCCTAAGCCTATTTCGGCGAGGATCGGAAGAAAAACAGACACTTTTCTGTAGACAGTTACACTCAAAAAGTCAGAAATAGTGCCAGGGACCAGATTTTCTGTCAAAAGTCACTTTTACCTACTGATTATCAAAGTTATCGCATACCGCAGAACAAGCAAGAAACTCCATGACTACTTACTCTTTAAAAGTTTTACAACATGATTAAATATTAAATACACTACTAGGGACGCATAACGTCGAAAAATGCTTCGTAAAGTCAGTAGCGAACTAGCAATAAGCATATAGCTGACCATGAACAACAAAGATTAAATTTGTAATACCAATTAGCACAAATTAGTCGATTTGAAACAGTAATTTTCACATAAAATCGAGTTATTATCAATTTCGAAAGCTTCTTTTATGATTTATTTTATTTTATTACAAGCTTTTATTTATAAATATTGCATCGCTTGTTGGCAATAACAATGTCGTTTATTTAATAACGCTGCGGTCGATAAGAGTACAAACTGTTACACTGGGACATTGACATTAAACTAATAATAATTTATTGAACATATTTTTATTTTGCCAGTGTCTGCATGAAAATATAATTTGTATTGGTCTGAAAAGTCATTTGCATGGTGGACTCACTCAAAAAGCTATAAGATTCGTAATGTAATAATAAACATTCGATATATATTTAGAGATAATAAATGGATACTTTCACACATAATTTACAGGTATCATGATATTATGATAACACAAAAATTTAAAAAGGACTTTTCTTTGTCTCGAAATCGAATTCATTATTAATTCAAAATCAATTGAGATATATCGACTCGATCTACTCGTATGAACTGGAATTAGGGTAGATATAGATATTCCACTCTGATAAAGTTCCAGCTGAAATGATAGTGCATTTATGAACCTATGTATCGATCGGTAGGTAGGTACTATCTATACCTTTAATATCAGTAACAGAACTAACATGAATACGGCATGTCCATGATGTCCGTCCTATGATAAAACTATAGTAATTGGCCAGTTTATACGTATGTATGTACGATGTTCATATTGGTATCACCTACCTACCCACCACATAAATTAATTGTGACATCGATATCATCGTTTACCAAAACCGTTATTGGAGTTTTAAGGTTTTATAAACATGGCTTTGTGTATTGACACAGGACCTAATTGTTTTATAGGTTGAGTAATCCATGTTATTCTTCCATAGACTTTGCGACTAGCCATTGTCAACCAAAATTACCGAAAAAAATTCCTTTCCACCTTATCTTTCAATGATGGATAACTAAGCAATTTATTATAATTAGGCAGCTACATGACGAAAATAAAATTGAATGAACGTGATTGGCAAGAAAATGTTATTCCCCGAAGGACCATACGTACTTCCACCCACTTTCAGACTGAAATCTAATTAGTCGCATATTCCCATGGCAACAGAGGATGAGATTTATTGGTAATGAGGTATACAATTTTTACCTCGTATTTCGGATAATAATAGAAAACAAAAATTACATATAACATCACGCCTTTTATACCCGAAGGAATAGGCAGAGGTGCACATTAAGCCACTGTACAATGTAACACCCACTTTTCACTATTTATGTTATGAGTCCCATGTAATAGGGGGTGAGCCTATTGCCATATACCGGGCACAATTCCAGACTCCGTGCTACTACTGAGTTTTTTCTTAAAAACCCAGTAATACTTTGCCCGACCTGGGAATCGAACCCGAGACCCCTTGCCCGGCAGTCGCACTTGCGACCACTCGGCCAACGAGGCAGTCAACAAAACAACGAAACAAAAATTATAGGTACTTTATCCGATCCGATCCGATACGTAAGATGAAATTGGGAGCATTTTCTATCACAGAATCGTGAATCGTGAATCAGAATCGTGTGGCATCGATGTCCACATACAAGTATGTATTTGCAAATATCATTGTATGTCCTTACGTGCATAACCTCAGAATGACAGTACTTACCAAATTGAATAATTCTTTCTGTTTTGCGTTCGTTATTATTAGGAGAAGGATTTTACGAAGATACGGACAGCAGTTAATTTTCAATATTTTTAGCAAAAATGAAATAATTGATTTGCCATAATATATTTCTATGCAATGGCCCCCATTGCATAAGAGGATTTATTTTAACGTACAAAATTCCGGGCAAATCGTAAATATAGTAAAATCGGGAGCACGACTCCCACCGAATCTAGATCGCGGTGTAATACAATCGCATACGCTACCTTCTATATTTGGACACAAGATCCTTTTGTTTAAACAAGTCCGCGTTATATTTTGTTGGCATTGTTATATTATCTTCTTAGCTATGTTTCGAGCACAATATTTATGTACACGGGTGCCAAGATAAGCGATTACAAATAATAATAGAAGGCAAGATTTGTCTATCAATGTCACTCTCATTTAGAAGTAGTTCCCATATAGTTCTACGTATATAGTAGTACATCAGGTCTCTCAGGATAGGCTAGGTCTACATAATCCTTACTAGATTACATTGACAACGACTTGGGCCTTTAAGAACATCCTTTGTTATTAAGTAGAGGGTGTAGTGACATACCACTCACATTTCGTTTAAAGGGAAAAACCTAGCGTGACACATGGAGTTACCAAGCTTACAAGTGTTTCAAACTTCGCTTAGCAAAAAAATTTGTTCCAGCATGATATATCTCCGATTTGTCACTTCAACACATGTGCAATTCATTGTTACGTACAGTGATGACGACTTTCTATAGTTAAGAGGAATTACATACATAAAAAATAATGTCAAGCCTAATATCCTACGAAACAGGGTTTTCTACTTAACCCAAATATCGAACCCAGGACAAAGCTGTCAATAGTCGCAAGCCACCATTAAACCAATGACGTATATACAAAGTATAGAAAATTACTATTTTAAAAGCAAGATCATAAAAAATGGGTAGCAATAAATAACTAAAGTTAATCTATGTACACAACAAATGAATGTACATATGACATGACCTAGTTTCATCCTGCTGTTAGAATCATACCTTAATAACAGTCTAACAACTATGTAGAATTATAGTTGATATTGGATACAAATTACTCAGTTGAATTATTACCTGCATTTCCAATAGTAGTTTCGTACATGACTCCGTACTGTTGCATCGTTCCGTTCCAGTTTGAACGACAGTGACTGCTCTCAGTCTATATGGGAATGATCTCAATGCACTCTGGTCTCCATCACTAGTGTCCCATTGTGATCTGCTGACTAACTGCAACGGTCGTTCTATTGGTGGTAAAATATTTTCTGAAAAGGAGGTATGTTTTATTATACACAGTTATAGTTACATGTGGAAACCGCAGTAACTATGAGGAAACACTGTCTGTGGCGTAGACCAAATAATAAAAGTAATTTTTGCACTACCAGTTAAGTTTACCCTAATGATAACTATAATTTTGGTCGTGCTTGTTTGATAAACATAAATTTAATACAAGCCTATTTTAAACCAATAAAATAAGGAGCATGACCTTGTTGCTCTATAAACTACAACAGCAGTAGTAGTAAAATTAGATATCTTTGTGAACAATAAATATTAATAACGCAACAGAAACCAGTTATACTATGATCAATGTCAAATTAAAAGTAATCTCAAAACACTAACCAGAATTATTCTGTAAAATGAGGAGATATATTCCGATTATGACACCACCAATGAGTATCACCAGGAGCAAGCTGACAATAACAGTTGTCACTGGATTACGTTCCGACCCAGTGTGTGGGAACCGATGAAGCAGCGGAGTAGTTTCTTCTGATGTTACCGGAGTAGGAGTTTCTTCCTCAGTGTGATTGGTATTGTGCCGAGTCTCATGGTCTGTGAAACACTTGTCCAGATGAGTTAACTCTTCACAATTTATATTTTTCAAATCCATAATACACATCTAAATCAGACTTGGTTTACTAACGCACTAACCGCTTTGATTGACTAAAGTATTAACTGATAAGTAAAAATTCCCATTGTTCATACTATCAACACAAACAGACAGGATATGTAAGTTAAATAACAGAGATAAACAAAATCAATTACAGTTAAAACTTCGTAGTGGTATTTCCATTATGGTATAATTTCCTATATTATTTATTTAAAAGTACCAGTGCACAATTTTCACACAGCCATTGTAATAGTTTCTATCTATCACTAGTCTACCCAGTTAGAAATATTAATGAAATGGATATGCCTCAGGTTGTTACTTGTATCTACATGTGGTCCACACTCTTGATATCATATCGCATCACTAATATCATATTACCGTGCGATAAAATGAGTTGTTATCTACCTACGTGCTCACAGATTACATCAAAAACATAAGTGACTCGTCAGAATTTGTTTAGTTTGTGCATATTCAAAATGCAACCCAAATTCGTAACAATAAAATCCCATAAGATTATGTGTACTATACCTCTATGCATTTCACGACAGTCACAATGAATCAGATGTATTTTCATTCATTTTAGAACAATGAACACAAAGAACTATATGGGTTTAGCAAATTTTGAACTCACCAACAGAATATAGAGGCTGCATCTTTACAATAAATATCACGTAACATTAACCAATTTACTAATTGATTTCTGACTAGGACATGTCCAACAGCGCCGAATATCGACCCATAATGAGTAATTAATTAAGGAAGGACGAGGGACGGAGGAAAATAATGCTATTGATAAGTTCAGGAAAACAAATAGCTGTGTAGGTACCTACTTTACTTTTAGCTGTCAATCTGTCAAACAAGAAAACAATACGTCAAAGGGATGATTTGATCCCAATCGACACCAAATGCGTAAAAATCGTATGAAGATATTTAAGAAAATCACTTAAAAAATTCAGTAGTTACTAGTTTAGTTATTGTATTTTAAAAGTTAGATAATATTAAAGCAATTACCCAAACTAAACTTTAAACTTAGCTATAAAAAGATATCTGTACATGGCTCGACTAAATAATAATACACTTAGTAACATAAAATCCTATCTGTTCAGCACTTTCAAGTTTCAACTGATCACACAAATTCAAAAATAAAAATGGTAGTTCTAGTTCCCGACTTCAGATGCTAAGATGTCCATACAAACATGAAACAAGCTATCCTCATATCATAAGCTTTATTTGTTATTGACGTGCTATTGCATTGCTTGTTTTTATTACATAGTACTCAAAAGTTTGATGATAAGTAACAAAATTCAAATTGTTTATTATCTCAAGAATTACAAGTTATGATTTATTTATAATTTCATGTAGTCATCGCATACTTCTACTGGTCGATAAAAGATTAACTTATTTTATACAATTATACAAGGTTACAGGTGAACCTTAACACAAATTTTATTCTGTTTTAATAATCCGTCGTCTATTACCTACGCCTCTGTAGGTATAGTCACTTGCAATTGGATGATTTCAAATAATAAAATACCTAGTCTTCTACACAAAAATAGCAAAAAAAACAGAACAAAATTGAGACACAAAAGACAAAAAAGGTTGCAACCGACCAAATTCTGTATTTTTTAAAAAAGTAATTGAAAGGCTGATATCTTGAGAACGCTTAAATTTGGGATATGGGGCATTATAGGGTTCCTTAGTTAGATCGGTCAGGAATAATGAACGCCATATGGCATTAAGTTCGCCTTATGTGCCATAATAAAATTTTGTACATAAAAGATTAAATAAATAAATAAATAATGCATACTACCACCTCTTAAAGGATTTAGGTCGACTTAACATGTAACCCTCTATACAACAATTTTTCCTACTAGACTAAATAAAGATGATACTTTCACGAAAGTTACTGTTTAATTTTTTGATAATATAGAAAAAATATTTTGGTCGGATGATGTGTGGGCAAACTAAAGCCAGTTTAGTCGATTTTACACAACAGTCACTTTGACGTTTGAGGTTGTCAATATTTTATTTATTATCTGTTGAACAAAGTACGACGATTACGGTGATCGAGTGACTACTCTGACTTCGTTTCCTTTTATTGATTTTGATAGACCTGAAAATAAAACTATTGCATTCTTGACTTTGTATTTATAAATTAAACTCTTGCAACTACTTGTTGAAGAAAGTGTTCTCAAGAGTAGGAAGAAGAGTTGAAATAAAGAACTACTTGTTACCCTGACCCTCTGTCAAGTTGAGAGATTCGCGAATTTCGTCGAACGCTCTTCTTTAATATTGCGTTTGTTCTCAATACCTAGTATAAATACATTTCAGTTCAGTGCTGATTATGACGATCGATTTCAGTGTTCTTCACGTGAACCTAGTTGAAGAACATATCATTTAGCACCTATCTCCTTAGGACGATAACAAGAAATCGTCGGCTTTTTGTGGTTGAATGTAGCCATTGAAGTCGTACTCTTAAAATAACAAAAAGTTCAGTGCAGTTTTTCGTGAAGTTATCTATAATTAGCATACAATTTGTTAAGGTAAGAGCTGAGTAGTGTACTAGAAACATTCCTTAGCATTAAACCATTTAAATTAAGATGTTTTTAAGTTATTATTTATCGTTTTGCGAAGTACAGATCTATGCTGCATTTAGTAGATTATAATTGTGTTCTTCTTACTTATATGACTCAACTGTATCTCAAATATGTACCCATATTACAACTGGCTTGCACCTCTACTTGTATTCGAATTTAGAAATCCTTTGTAGTGAAAAAAGCAAAAAAAATTAAAAAAAAATAACTACCCATTTCTACATTATAAAGCACTTTCTTTTGAATGGATTGTAGGTAGATACTATATCTATCTACTATATCAATATAAAATTATCACCAGCGAAGTCATTCACATCAATCTGTAATCTAATTAGATACTCGAATAACTGTCCTTTATATTAATTACAGTTCTTCTTGTAGGTATATGTAAAAAAGTGCAACAACAAAAAGTTTAAATTACTCTGAAGATGTATTGTTATGAACATACCCTCACTGTTTGTGTATGGAAAACATTTTTTATCTCAATACCTTTTTATCTTTCATGCATATCTTGTAATCTGCATAACTATTGTGATTGTGTGTCACATTCAATTATTATTACATTTTACCATTCTGGAATTTGCAAGGACTAGATTATTGCTTTTAGATAAACAAGTAATATATAAAAAATATGTTTTGTGTTAAACGGTTTTAATGATCTCAATTTTACTATTTGTTTGATTTTCATAATGGAAGTAGATGTGGATAAATTTAATTATAATATTGTAGGGTCATCAAGAATAAGGGAGCAAATATCAGATTGATGTGGCATCAGAGAAGGTGTAAAATTGCTTAGTAAACCTAAACAAGCAAACAGGACAAGCTAAATAAAACCGTTTAAGAATCTTGGAGTGTGCACATAGGAGTAGTGTCTCTTGTCATATTTTTACCTGAAAGAAGGGTATGATTTTTTCTAATATAATTTGGTGGAGGAATCTAAACATTATAATTCAGCGGTGTTTGTTTCTTGAAGTGTTTAATAATTAATTTTATAAGTTATTAAGACTATTATGCCAGTATGGGTTCACAAATAAATAATAAAAGGGATAACCAAATACTATTTTAGCTTGAGCACAAGTATAAGCAAAGCGTGGTGTACAAGTAGTGTGAACTAGTTCATGAATATGTGCACAATAGGTTAGGTATGACATGCATGAGTTTTGACCTGAGGTTTATCTTTGACATTATCAAAATATATATATTTTGTATCTTGTGCATTGCATTTTTACTTCTATTGTGGGTAGCCACCCGCAAACTTCTGCTAATAGATATTGCTTAGCAATTTTTATTTTATAAATGTGTTGCTCATAAGCTTAATTTGCGAATTTGTGATCATTATTTTTCCTTTTATTTGTCTCTATTTTTTATAACCCTTTTTTCTTATTGTATTGCTAACTTGTACTGTAATTAAAAACAACGACATTGTTCCCATTTGAAATTGCTGACTTTAATCAATACTGCTATATTAAGCTCCTTGTTAACACAAAATAATACTAGGACATTGGCAACAGTATTGATTTTTTAAATATTTAATGCATTGTAAGTGACACACTTTCACCCTGTTGGTGCTAATGCTATTTTAATATTCTGTGGTAGTGTAAGTAAACATTGCAAATGAAAGGGTATAAATTAAATGTGGAATGATTTACCCATATTTGAGTATGCATTTTGTCATCCATGAAAGGGTATAAATTAAATGTGGAATGATTTACCCATATTTGAGTATGCATTTTGTCATCCTTGTTTTCTTTATTCTATTAAAGTTATCATTTTATTGTATGTCTTTCCAGGATCGTAGAAACAATCAATGATACGAGAATTTTACGATAGTTCGGATGAAGATGACATGGATAAACAGTATCAGATAGATCAGGAATGCTTGGTGACTCGGCCGGACTGCGACATGCATAACCGGTGCTGTGGTGGTAAAGCGTGGTGCATCAGGGTAAGCATCAGCACAATATAATATTATAAATGTATAAGTTTGTTTGTTTGGATGTCTCCAATCATGCTGAAACTACTAAATGGATTTTGATGAAATTTGGTATACAGGCAGGCTATGGGCTGACTTAGGTGATAGGATATTTTTATCCCCATTAAATGCTCCCATGGGATAAAACAGGAATCATATTCAACGTGGAAGAAGTCGCGGGCAACAGACAGTTTATAATAAAAAAATAATTATGTTTTCAAAACTATGGCATAGTAAGTCTAAGTGCATAACGTTTTCTTAAATCTTCATGTTATTGTTACAGGACATTTGTGGTATAATTTGTGCAGTTTTAACATGGCTCTTGATACTGTATGCGGAATTCGTAGTGATGATGGTGATGCTTCTGCCAGGCCTCTCCACATACCCAGTGTATAGTTACATTAACATATTCATATTCCAAAGCCTGGCCTTCCTGGCATTCGCTTCTCATCTCAGGACTATGTTTACCGATCCCGTAAGTAGTGGATTTCATTGTATTTTATAAAGCCTTGGTTGGCTTGCCTAGTTATTAATAATAAGGAAATCAGTCACATTCTTTATTAGAAACTACTCTAACAATATTATGGTAGTTCACTACAAAACACATGTTAAAGTGTAACAAATTGTGTTTTAGTTAAAGCCATTTCAATGACCATTCAAGCTGTACTTTAGGTATAATATTATGTTCTTTGTAGGGTGCCGTTCCTAAAGGCAATGCGACAAAGGAAATGATAAAGCAGATGAGTTTTCGAGAGGGTCAGGTGATATTCAAGTGCACCAAGTGCTGCAGTATTAAGCCAGAACGTGCACATCACTGCTCTGTCTGCCAGCGATGCATTAGAAAGATGGACCACCACTGCCCTTGGGTTAACAACTGTGTCGGGGAGAATAATCAAAAATATTTCGTATTATTCACCGTAAGTGTTGTCAGTTGTTAAATATATTTTATTACTCTTCTCATATGGTGTAAAGGACCGTTACCCGCAACTATAACTGACTGCCGGCACGTGCTTCGCGTGCGCCAAGCTATTACGATCTATGTTCGTCAAATGAAGCCATTATTTAAAGCACTTGAATTAAAAAATTCAGTTGGCTTATAGAATTTTATTTTTGTTGAAAGTATATTCCCACCAGACATTATGTGAACAAAAGTACATAAGAACTACGTCTTTTCTCTACGTACTTATGCTATAAATTATTTTTTCTTATCAATCTGAGTTTGCTTAACTTTGAGACGTATACCTATTTTTGTTATTCTTGATAAAGTTTTTTATGTGTCTAATTGTTAATGTGTTTTCAATAGTTTTACATAGCGGCGATATCGATCCACGCGGTGGGTCTCGCTGTGTACCAGTTCGTGACGTGCATCCGACATGAGTGGCGAGACTGCAGTGCCTACTCGCCGCCCGCCACCGTCGTGTTACTGCTGTTCCTGATCGCGGAAGCATTACTATTCGCCATTTTCACCGCCGTTATGCTAGGCACTCAGTTACATGCCATATGGAACGATGAGACTGTAAGTCTTCATTAATAAAATCGATATCGATTGGCTTCTTTCTACGTAACTCAGTCGAGTCCTATATATTCATTGCATAACTGCATTTATTATTGACAGTCTATTTACCGTGCAGTATGAAAGTGTAAATCGATATTTTATGTGTTTACAGGGCATAGAGCAGCTGAAAAAGGAACAAGCTCGATGGGTTCGCAAATCACGATGGAAGAGTATTCAGTCGGTATTCGGCAGGTTCTCCATCCTTTGGTTCTCACCATTCACTCAGCCTTCACCCAAGACGAAATTGGAAAGCTATCTCTATAGTGTTTAGTGTTTGTATTCCATAGACACGGATGAGGAAGATATTGAGGATACATTAGAACATTTGAGACATCTGAAAGCGTTTTAAACATTGAACATTGGTCGTATACATAACAGGTACTGTAGTTATACCTAGTGACCGAACAATGCTTGAGCTACTTGTAGTGTGTTGAAACTAATTCAGAAAAGGTCAGATGCCATCATAACATAGGAATATGAGATATTTCCATATTTAATTCTCTGTATAAATAATCGCGATCTATATTGCTTTTAGCAATGTCTGATGATTAGTTCTTGAACTTTTCTGACTTTAGATCAATTTCCTTAACGTTCTTCTCGTATTTTCCTCAGCCGTGTCGTTTGTGGTATAGTATTATCACCACATCCACACATACAAACATAGTAGTGTAACATATATCCACATTTTCATATTCACATCTCAATGTATTATTATTTGTAATCATTATAGCTACTTATCTTCAAAAGCAATTGAAATTGACGAAATCCAGCAGTCAAATGTTGGTCTTTGAATGCACCATATAATCTTGCCTTTGAGGCCAACATCACAATATTCTTATTGATATAATTTAGTCACTCTCGTCTCACTATGATTGACTATGACTGACAACGGAATTTGTAGAGTATAGATAGTTAGGAAACCAAACGTCTGCATTTACTAATACTTATTTAATTGTTACAAATATTTATCACAAATGATTAATGATATATAAATTTATTCTGGTATAGGTAAGGTTACGAATAAATAGTAACTGAAACATTTACAGATTTATACAGTTTCGAAATGTAAGCAAGTAGGCGTGTCGTAAGCTACGCACACAAATCCCGTGTGGTCTCGTACGGAGTCACATTATAGTAACATTAATATTAGGCCTCGATGTTGTACTAAATTTTTTAATAAATAATATTATTGTTTGTCAAGATCATCGTAGATCTCTTTAATATAATAATGGTATTAAGTTCTTGTGCTATGATAAAAGTTCAAATCACAAATTATATATTATTATAGATAAGTTAGCAAATATCTATCTATGCAATAAAATTAATGCTTTATCTTTCGTAAAGTATTGCTTTTTGAATGTATCTTGTAACAAAGTTACTATACGTGTTAGGTATAGTGTAGGACCAATGACATGATAGATCTCTCCTATGCTCATCATTGATGGGTGTACCTATGACCTTGGTTTTGCCTGAAATCAGATATTTACCTTGACTACAGAATGACATGATATTCTGTTGAGAAGTGCGTGCAGTAAGGTCATTGTTAATTCCATAAAGGTTTAAAATGAAACTTTTGTTGTTGCGTAATCATGATTATTATTAATTTTAAATTGAATTGATTGTGATTGTATTTATTTCGTTGTAATTATTGCTTTCTTTATGTTGTTATTTACATGTGAAGTTTATTTCTTAAGTATAGGTCGACTAATGGCCGCGGGAACAAACTCGATAGTTATACATATTTTAGTTGGTGGTTTAATGGCGAAGTAATGTGAACGGTAGGTTGCAACGCTGTTGTGATATATTAAGTGTAATCTAATTAACGTCTTTAAGTGAAAATATAATTTTGCTTCAGTTTGAGCAATAGTGGATTTGTATTATCAGTCAGTGATAGACTTAACTTGTTATAACTATTGATAGGTCAGTTTTGGTGTATAAATTATTTAAACAAACGCTAATCTTTTTGATGCGTTTGTTGTTTTTTTTTGTGTTTTTTTTATTCGTATGTAGTTTAATTAAGTTCGGCTGAACAGAGCATTGAAAGCGAGATAGGGGCGAAGATATCCTGAAGTTTTATTACATGTAGTGCATATTTATCATAATTCCTCATAAATAATTCTACAGTCAGTGTAAGAATATTATTTACAAAGTAGTGTTTCAATGTCATGGTCTTGAGGCAGCATACAATGCAATAGCAACGTTGTTGGTCTCCTCATAAAATTGATATTTTCATTCATGTGTCACGTTCCCTATTCATTCCATGTTAATTACACCATACATACAGTTTATTAGCGACTGTATGTTCAATCTTTCAGGTGATAGGTAAATATGCACTATTTGTGTAGGACGAAGGGATTATCTAATCTAGTGCTTGCTCCCGAGGCGCTTGCTCGCGCGTGTGTGACCGCCTTACGTTGCAGTAAAGCAGATATTTTAGCAATAGCAATACATACACAGACCATGAGTAGTTACTAGTTATGCTTCTAACGACTGCATAATAATTAGATGTAAGCGTATATCGGTGATTCTATTAAGAACCGTTAACTTTGCAATAATTAAGTGCTGTTTACACGTATTATTTGTTATTATGTGTTAGCTAAGACCTTCGTTTTTGGGAATCAAATCTTTGATGGCTTTAATGTTTTAAGTGTCAAGCTTAGAGCCGACATAAGTTTAAATAATATTCGTAATTTCGCGGCAAACTTAGTTTGGTGTTACTGTGGTGATTATGTCATCCTTGTTAGCTGTGTCCACATCGGTCGAGCTTGTGGAGCGACCTTGTGAGTCAACTCTATTTATTTAGACGTGTCACAGTTCTACTCAGGCGCATATTTGTGCTCTGATGGACTTACATACAAGGTTGTAATTGCTTGCAACTTTGTTTGCAAGTACCAAGTACCTAAAGTAGCCACAACTTCCTCTAATTAAATGAGCCCAAGCGTTGTGTTCACTGTATACCTTTGTAGCCACTTGTCAGTTTTAGATACTATAAATACTAGTATCTTTATTCTGCATTCTCTTCCTAGATTTCTTTCATCTTAGGAAGTCCGAACTCCTTATAAGTAACACCAAAATTTCTAAATTAAAAATCATAAAATGTCTAAAAGCATTGAAATTCAGAATACGCCAACCGGAGCCGTACAAATCCACGATATTACAAACATATCAAACAGAATATTTGTTGCATAACGCGAATATTTTGTGATACTTTCTGTTATATACTTAGTCGTTTTTAAAAGCAATATTGACGTCTATATGTAGTTTGCTAGTAGGTGATAGTATAAAGTTTAGTAACTATGCTCACTCCGGATGGCTTACGTGAATTTGTATTGTGCTTAGCTTCATGATCGGCTTATTATATAATGCGGGATTTGTAGGAATTCTGGACTATATTTTTAGAAGACGAATGAGCGGACACAACACTATTTTGAGCCTCAGAACGCGGAAGGAAATGTACCTTAGCAATATACTAAATACTATTTCCATATATTGAATATAAGCAGGCTATCGCAATCATTCTATCACTATATAGTGAGCGTAGAATATATTCATGTATACATATTTATTGTGATGAAGGTATAAGTCACTTAATCAGTCATATTTACTATTTTTGCGGGTTTGTTACTATTACTTACATTGTACTTCTTAATTAAGCTTTCTATTACGTCATTGCGTAACGTTTAAGACCTATGTTACGTTATCTATATAACTTATCATAATTATTGGAAAATATTTTAGCTGTGTAAGTTTGAATCTATATATTTGATGGAAACTAAATAATATAATTAAATCTTATATAAATAATGCAGTTTGTAGCAATAATCCGATATATTATTTTGGATATTTAAACAATGTTTTTGTATTAGATACTATATACACATGTACTATAATCGTCATTCTTAGTCATATGTGACCTGTAACAAATGATGCGCTGCCGATACAAAGCGTACGCTGTGCGCTTGTAAGTGATGAAACATTAGTGATTAAAGTTAATGAAATGTTAAGTCTCGACTCACGTTCTCAGGATAGAAAATATTCTGCACTGAAAATTGTGTCTTATTTCCTAAATGATAGAGTAACACCAAGTTGTAGTCCGTTGTAGATTTTTTCGTTAAAAAGCTAGAATAGTATATAATAATGTTTATGGGAAGTTTCAGTGGGAATCTGGTTTGCTTAGTGAACCACATGCCAAAGTAAGGTTGATATATTATTTAAGTTAAAACGTGGCTTCGTTAGTGGCTTTTTTATACATATCTTTGTATTTGTCCAATAGGGATGATTTAATGGTTAAACATTAATAATTTGACTTGTAGTTATTATGTAGTTTCTGTGAAATTATTTGTCTATATAAAATGTAATCGGTAGTAGAATCTTTTGTAATATTCTTGTGACTACAATCGGCTTGCTAGAAGCTAGTTATACTATATTCGACTTAATGTTTATAAGTACATTCTGATGTGATAATTTGCCCCCGTATTGTTTTGAACGAGAGCAAAGCTGATTATATTAGCAATATGTATATTTTGTGCGTTCAATTTTTAAAGCCACTTTCGTAGCTGGTTCATAGGCTTTTGGTAGTTGATTGAAATACGGTTTGTGTATTAAGGCATTGGTGTTAATTTCAGTGATATTTCTGTACGAAAGTAGTTAAAAGACAGGACCAGGCAAGCTTTATAAAAACCTTTTGTTCAGTCACACTATGGAAGCGATTTTGATTAAGTATAGTAAAATATATAAAATTAATTCATTGTGAAAAACACTTCAGTCAAGTATATTAAGTAGTAGTCTATTTAAGATAGACTTGTACTTGATACTGTAACGTTTAAAAATATTACCAGACGCTTCCAACATGTGGCTGGTCTGAGGAATGTGGTAAATATTCAATATTTTCACTAAGAAATTACATTAAGGCCATTATACCGACGACCAGGTACCGATATTTAATTACTCTAGTTATAGTCGTAACTAAATTCATATTAATGTTCACGATTTTATCTACTCATTTATGTCTTACTGAACAAATAGTTTAGCTTGTTAGATTATAATATCAGTCTTACTTGAAGCGGACATGAAATAACTTGGAGTGGAAGATTTTAAACCCCAGTTTCATATTTTTTGTAATGTTTCAAGAACGGTTTCGTGTACTCTAAATACTTAATACTTTGTGATGTTTTAATAACACTAATACTTAAAGTTCGGCTGCGATTTCTCTATGATTAAGTGTAATAGAAAGTCAGAATATCAATCATGATATTACGATGTTTTAAGTAT